AGACGTGTAAGGCGACAAACGTGAATCAGACAGAAGTAGAGAATCTTTCTGTATCAGCAATATAGTTTACGACTAACTCGACAATAATTCCAACTGTTACTTTGTCAAACAGTACTCGTAACAGAAGTGAATCAAGATCCGGTTTAACATCTGGAATCCTGTTAGAGAATTGTGTCATTTTTCTCCTTGTTGTAATTGGGACACTCAAAAAGAAAATGGTAAACAGTCTCTTTTATTAGACTATTACATTCACAAGATGGATCATGCACGAGACCTTTTATCGAATAAGTCACTATTCAGTTGAAAAAATCCGACGCTAAAGCGGCAGTAGTGAATATCAATATCTTTTCGACTGATTAAAGGTAATTTTGAAACTGATTTTGCTGGTATCAATCGATTTTTAAATCAATTTAAATTAAACGTAAGTCTTGTCTCAAGCGGAAGCTCATTGTACCCACGAGACGCTCGAAAGATTAACGATTCATAAACTATGTTTAATCGGCAACGTCGAACCGGAACAAGTTGTCTATCTCGACTTTGTAATGACTATGAGAGATATAGGTGGTGATGAAGGTAACAAGCTCTTTCGAACAGATGATGTCTTCCCAGTAATGATTTTCTGAAATAGAGTTAATCTATGTCTTTTGAAAATTTCTCTTATTGACTCCCATCCAAAGTCTTTCAAGACCCTTTTAGCAGAACTAAACAACATTGTTCCGAAAACAGCGCGAGCTGCCTTATAGTGAGCAGACTCTAAGCGATCCATATTCCTCACCATTGTATTACAGTAGATAGCAGAACCATAATTAAACTGATTCAACGCGTAAGCCTTGTAGATTATATCCAGAGCTTGACGAGCCAGCACATGTGAATAAAGGTTCAATAAGTCAGTCAAACGGTCTATTTTATGTAGGATATAATCTACATGCGCTGTCCAATCAAGGTTATTCTTCAGTACTAAGCCAAGATGTCTATGTTTAGTAACGTAGGGGATGGGAGTGTTATTGACGCTGATAACAGGCAGTGTAGCAGTCTGAAGTCTTTTATGTGTACAGAATAGCATAGCTATACATTTATCTATATTCAAATGAAACTTCCAAGTCACTGACCAATTATGGATGATGACTAAGTCCTTGTTTATTTGATCCACAGCCTTGGATAAGTCATTCCTTTTTGTAATGCAATACAGAGATACATCATCAGCAAAGAGTTTCATCGTTGAGTTAATGTTATCACCGATATCATCAATAAACATTAAAAACAATAATGGCCCTAGGACCGAGCCCTGGGACACCCCTCGATTAATTCTCCTCGCCGATGATGTAACACCCTGCACTGTAGTTATAATCTCCCGCTTAGCCAAGTAACCGGCAAACCAGTTAATAAGTGACTGAGAAATTCCCTTAGCTTTCAGTTTTAATAGCAAGCCTTTGTGCCATACACTATCAAATGCCTTGCTGAAATCAAGGAACGCAGTCAACATAGGTTCGTTTTGATCAAAGGCTATCAGTATTTCATATATTATGGATACTAGTTGATTAATAGTAGAATCATTCTTCTGAAATTCAGACAGGTTTTTATTCAGAAGTCCATAATTCACGAGGTACCCATGCACTTTGAAAAACATGTCTGAACGTTCGTCTGTATCTGACAAAAAAAAAATGTACATTGTTCTCTATTTACTTATTTGTTGTTACGAAAATACAATCTGCACCGCTAATTTCTAGACTAGTCCCTGCAGTTGTTATAAATACGCGGCCCCTTCTTTAAGAGATATGAAGTAAGAATGTTATCACTTAGCTTGGCATTCTAATCACCTGATTTTACCATTCATTTTCGAGATAATAGTGGTGCAGAACATAACTTTCACTACGAGAAAATGGGAGCCACTTACAACTCAACTAAACATCACCGCCGTGCACAATCATTTGTGTATAAAAAGTGTAATAATTTGACCCTGATCAACAAAAACTATTCATAAGCGTTGACGATTATTAATGTCAATGTTAGACGCTTTCCCGCTAGCGTTCAAATTTATGCCAACTGAACGTGAACGCCTACATCTCTATATGGGAGCACATAGAGAAACCCCCTACTTATGTCGTGCACTCGTTTTAATTTTATGGGACCTTCATTGAATGAAAGTTTCGGATTGTTAGAAACCAAAAGTGATTACATTTCCTTTTCAAATGATTTTGAATGTTAGACTTGCAAGATACTTACTATTCTGTATTATAGAAAACCGGATTTTTGAAATATTTCAGTAATTCTGATAGATCAAGAGAAAAAGGAATTTTCGATTATTGCATATGGTCTGTGTTCAAAAATCTTAGAAAACTACTAGATATTTTCTGTTCCGAAAATGAAGAAATAAGCGCATCACTTCCACCTGCATCTGTGCCAAGTGTATGTTTCTTTTTCGAGGAAGCAGTTTTTAAGACAGTGTAGATGATTCTTTTTAAATCTCTGACTTGCTCATTCCTTTTGCATCTACTGCCATCTACAGTGTCAAAAAGTATTGGTTAAGTCACGCAAAAGCCTGCCGCTACGGTCAGAATGTCTTGACAGCAAAACCTACGGTTAGCTGAATGAGTAGGTGATGTGATCTAAATACTTGATTCGAATTTTCATTTGTATGATTCTTTTGTTCTGTAGTTCGCAAAGGAAAAATTGCCAATGTGTCTTTTAAGAACATAAAGTCATAGGATGGAAGTTTCAGGTTTTAACAAGGACTAGATAGGGTTCATTTTCTGTTTTCCCTCTTTTATGATCTATTATATTTACTGAAGTATTCACTATTCTACACTATAAAAAGTACCCTCTATGAATTCGTGTCCTTAAAAAGCGAAAAAACTGCACGAACTCCGCTGACGATTCGATGAGTCATCTTAACCTGTAAGTGTACCATGGAAAGTGACAAAAAAATATCAGATACAAAAAATTTGCTCTGCTTTCGGTAACTCTGCTACTGCTAGGATTTATCAGCCTCGCAGTACTAATTACTGCTTTTGCTATTTATTATTATTTGAAAAGAAAAAAAATTGAATGAGCCAACGAACAGTCTGGTTCGGTGCCTCACTTATTTGTTTATCTTCTAAGCGTATAACATAAAAACAAATGCCCGGTATTTCAAATCTGATGTGTAATAATACAGGATGACCGCCATTGTTTATTATTCGGCGTTTTTAATGGTTCGTGAGTTGAGCGACATCAAGATGGATTTCCATTCATTTTTAGTACAGAGAACCAATGGTAACTGGTACAAATCTCTCTCTTTACTTAAACTTATTGAAAACACCTTATTTTTTCTCTCGTAGAACTTGCCGAATGTTTCATGCATTTTCAGTAATAACTTACAGTTTTCAAAATACATCAAATTTCTAATGATCAAACGTCCATCAAATTCTTAAACGCCGTTTTTATTATCTGTTAGTTACTTTTCAAATACAAGAAGAAGAGCATTGAGTATTAGCGCCCCATATTCGATTCTAGTTGCGTCTGGCAGCAGAGATGAACGGGTCACCGCTTTTACGAGTCTGAGTTAAGTTCGAGTCTAGGTCCGAGGCCGAGTTGCATCAAAAATTGACTCGAGTCATTTTCTATAAGTAACTTCCTCCTGATTTATTTTTCCAAGAAAAAGCTTGCAGCGCTATTTTCTATCTCTTGTTTGTGAAGCAGATGATATCATTCAAACTGAATCGAACGAATTAAGACTTTCATTTAACGTGTAAAACTGAACACATTCGTTTGTAGACAAATGATTGAATGTGAAACATCCAGTTCGTGTTAAAGCCACATAACTCTATTAGTTTAGGTAATATTAACCCTTTACCTCCGGTAGCTGATCGTGCAAAATGAACTTGTAACTGCCATAACTCCGTTTATATTCGGTGAAAAAACTTTTCTTATTAGCAACGACTATCTTAAGATGCCAGCTTACACTAGAAAAATATTTGTTTTCTGATGCAACGCATCGTTATGTTGTTATAGCGATTCTACGATATTCCACTAATGTCCACATCTGTGGACATCCGAGAGTAAATGGTTAATACGACAAAAACAAAATTCTGTTTACGATCATATTGTAAAATGAAATACGATATATATGTTATTAGAGAAAATTAGAACATACCAAATCTTATTAAAGAAGGTTTAATTGATCGTTCAATGATATATTGCGACTGTAAATTACAATCTGATCAATCGCGGTTAATTTCAGTGATTTGAATTGATTGAAACTATCCAAATATAAGGTCGTTGATGATGTTTAAAATGATATGACAATCGCAGTCAGCTCAATTAAACAATAAAAATATTAATTTAATAGAGCGATTGCTGTTGATTCATTCATTATCAGACGCAACAACAACAACATCCGATATTAGTAGTTTATCAGATGTAGCCTTTAGCATTAACATTCGATCGTTATCTTAAATGTAATTAAGATAAAGTAATTAGTTTCAAAGCGAAAGATTTAACAAAAGTAAACTATTTTTAACATCGTATACGAAACGGCAACGATGTAAAACAGATAAAATTAGACGGAAAAAACAGCTTTTATCTATGTGGTTTTTTTGTATATATCTGAGTTTGAAGTATGTCTGTTTTCCTTAATAGAGCATTGCTGAGCCTTTAAACAGCGTTACTACCGAAGAATACACGATTGAGTTTTCGGTTGTTAAAACACTCTTTTTACTTTCTGTAGAACTTCAAAAGAAAGGCCAAGAGTAGGATTTTACTTACAATATTTGTCTCCGTTTTAATTCAATCGTATCTATTCCTATCCTTATTTATTAAATTTAAACAGATGGCAAAAATATTATCTATAAGGAGTTTTCCATATTTCGCCGCTATTACAATAAAATTTTGTCTCGTTGCTTGTTTTTTTCAATTGTACTCAAATCTGTGACATCTGCAGAGCAGTAGATATTTGTGCAAAACATAGGACTGTTTTTATTGAACTTGCAGTTAAATGATGGAATTACTTTGTTTCTTTGTAGATGACTGCCAGCAGTATACAATCGAGTTTAAGTATAAGTATAAATGAGCGTAGTCCGTCAAATACTCATCAATTTATAATGAATACGCCGTCATCTGATGATGCATCGACAGAGCCAGCTATTAGCATATTTTCAGCCGATTATAAAAAGTACGTATTTATTCAATTCTACTTTTTTATTTTATTTATTGTTTGCTTGTTTTTCTAGATATGAAGATCTTAAACAAATGTTAGATGGTAACAAAGATAATTTAAAATTAGAAGCTATGCGACGAATCGTTGGAGTATGTCTTCTTTTATAATAATCTCTATGAGTATTATAAGGTAATTCCATTGTTTATTTAGATGATTGCAAAAGGCAAAGATGCTGCCGATTTATTTCCAGCTGTCGTTAAAAATGTTGTATCAAAAAATATGGAGGTTCGTAACATAAATGTGCTTTTTTTCTTTGCTGTTGCTGATATGGTTCTATCTTTATAGGTTAAAAAATTAGTCTATGTTTATTTAATGCGTTATGCTGAAGAACAACAAGATCTTGCTTTATTATCAATAGCCACATTTCAACGAGGTTTAAAAGTAAGAATTATTTCGCTAGAGAAGAAATGATCAGAAATGAGGATTGTTTTTATAAATTGTTTAAAACAACTTTCGTTAACAATAATTACTAAATATTCTCTATTTCATTGACTGATTTTTTAGGATCCAAACCAGTTGATTCGTGCAAGTGCATTACGTGTTTTATCGAGTATTCGTGTTCCAACAATCGTCAGTATAATGATGTTAGCTATAAGAGATGCTGTCAATGATATGTCACCTTATGTTCGCAAAACAGCAGCTAATGCTATAGCAAAACTTTATGCGTAAGTTTATTTTATTAAAATTTCTATTCTTTTATAATATCTTGATTTTTAATTAAATAGACTGGATATGGATTTGAAAGAAGAATTAGTGATTATTATTGGGAAATTATTAGCTGATAAAACAATTGTACGTTTGTAATATTTTTCTTGTTATAAATCTCTATGTTCACTTTTTTACGTAGCTCGTAAATGGCAGTGCTGTTCAAGCATTTGAACATGTTTGCCCTGAACGTATTGATTTAATTCATAAAAATTATCGAAGATTATGTAATTTATTGGTCGATATTGATGAATGGGGTCAGGTGGTCGTTCTAAATATGTTGACACGCTATGCGAGATCGCAGTTTATAGATCCATATCTGGTAAAAAAACATCTCTTTTATTATTGTACTTAATCATTTGTTTAAAAATGTTCTATTTACGGGGGGGGGGGGGGGGGGGGGGGGGGGGGGGGGGCGGGGGGGGGGGGGGGGGGG